TATTTCCCCAATAAAATTCTTCAACTACATTTTTGTTCAGGTGACTAAACAATATTAGATCCTCACCTATCTTCAACTATCTCAATATATTTCCTATACATAATCTACATAATAGTATAAAAATTCTAATCCTAGAATAGAATGAACACATTATAACTTTGAGTGTTCTAATTTTGATCGAGTGGCTAGATTACCCTTCAAACATTCTATCCAAACCAGAACACTCACACAAACACATGGAAGGACAAATAAATTATAACTTTAAATATTCTAATTTTAGTTGATCAATTTAATTAACCCTAAAATATTATCCAAATTGAAACTCACACATAAACCTATATTTAGCTGTCTCCATAGATTTCCTATACATAATTTATGAATATTCTCTTCGTAAAAAAAAAAGTGTCTTAAAACTTTTATGCCTTATTTACCATTTTTTTCTTATGAGTCAAGAAAAAATTATTTATCACTTTTAATATTTAAGATGAAATTTTGTTTTTGTCAATTACCCGGTTCTCTCCACCTTTTTTTTTTTTCAATTTATTTAAATGATAAAACTAGTATGTATTCCTTTTAAGTGAAAATGACATACGATAAATTTGATACACCATCCGTTCTAAGGTTTTTCACACAGCCCCAAAAAAACTTATTTAATTGAGAGTATCACTACAAAAACATATTAAAAGTATACGATAATTTTACTGAATTAACTTTATCATGATTTTTTATGAAAAATGTGAAACACAACAACTTTCTAAAAACATATTATTGAGAGTATCATTACAAAAAATTTTCATAGAGTGACATACAAAAAGTGTTGTTATAGATATAATATATGTACGTATATACCTATTTGAAATATAGCTATATATAATTTTAGTGTTGATTTTAAATAAGATTTAACAACATATTTTGTGTGTCACTATAGTCTATACCTATACTTTTTAACAATATACCAACATATATTATATTTATTATGTGGGTAAAAGTAGTTTTTTTTTTTATTAAGGTAAAAGTAGTTTTTAGTGAGACGTATTGTATCACTATAAGATGTGTGTTACTGTACGACAATTTTCTTGTAGTATATAAATAAAAATAATAAATATTATATTAAAAAATCAAAATATCATTTATTTTGAGACTTGTTTTTTCCATTTTACATAGCACTTATTACAGTATTGGGGACTATCATGTAAAAAACAATAAGCTTCATTTTATCTTTTCAATGTAATACTAATTGTTAATTTATGATTTATAGTCTTAACAATATTTTTTTAGAATATAGTTATTATATGGATTATAAAAAATGTTACATATAGTAATATATAAAAAGTTTTATCATAAATATAATATATGTAGATATAAATCTATTTAATATATGCTCATACATAATTTTAGTGTTAATTTTTTAATGATATTTAACAATATTTATTATATGTAACTATAACATATACCTACACTTTTTAACAATTAAGAGAATATAATTATAGGTATTATAGTAGTTTTTAGTGGCAAAATATTGTCTCACTATAAAGTATGTCACAATAAAAATTTTGTATAACTATATTATTTCTATTAAAGAAGATTAATAATAAGATTACTTTTATAAGATTACTATATTCTTTTATTCCATCTAGTCCTTTATATAAGATCTAAATTAAAAATGTTCTTTAGTCACTTGTATATAAGAATCAATCTAAAATATCTTTTGTGTTAATTTTTATTCTACAAGAAATACTTTTGAATAAAGTCTTCTCTCTTATTAGTGTCTCTCATTGATGTTAAGGATAGTATTAAAAAAATATAAATTTAGAATAAATTTAATATTATCAAGTAAATTAATTAATTTTCTTAAGTGTAATGATATAGGTAATTAGATCCCATGTCCTTCTTTATAAGACACTTTCCATTAAATTGTACTCTTGAAAAAAATAGTTAATTTAGTTAATAGTATTAAATTTATGAATAATTTAAACTAACTTTTCAAAATTACCTCAAGGATCTCTTAAATTAACTTTATCTTTTTTTACTTCATTATTTATCATATAATTAATTGATGTTTGGAAAGAGAATAATGTCAAACTAGATTAAAGAGATATCTATTTGTCTTTTTTTATTTTTTTGTCTCATGGGCATGATCCTCATAATATTTCAAAACTAACAATAAGGATTAATATATGTACTTATAAAATGTGTCTTTCACTGTCAAACATTATTTTAGTATTACAAAAATTAATCATAAGGCGATCAAGTTGACCTCTCATATTCCAAGACAGACCTTACAACTATTTGATCAAGAGACTTAATTTTCTATGTTTTTAGTTTATGTTCTCCAATCCTAATGAGAGAATGAGGTATATAGCCATTTAATTTTAAATTTTTATTATTCTTTTGTCTACGGTAATTGTTAATTAAATAAGGATCCCTTAAGAAAAATATGATTAATATATCTTATAAAATTTTCTAAACAAAAAAGTGACTTTTTTTGTTTTGTTTTTTTTAATATAAGAATAGAAGAAGTATATAAAAAGGACCGAAGCATTTACTAACTTTATAAAAACTTAGTACGATATTTATGTGACGATGAAAATACTTAAAAATAATAGAGGTAGTAGACTAGTAGTGACTTGTGCTTATATGAGTTGATTTAAAAATTAGTTCATATATCAAACATGTTACCAATCTAATTTTGTTATACATAAGACAAAATGACACAGGCTTCTTCAACCATATCTTGCATGTGTCATTCCCTGCAGCTATATGCCAACAAAAACGCATATAATTAAGGACACTATTTGCAAGTCAGTAACCATATGCATTCCCTCAACAACCTAACCGAAAGGGATGGAGATTTTAAATAACTAGTACTAAAGCTTTTGTTCTTGTCACATTCTTTTTCTTTATGGATATATTCATTTAATCCTTTTGAATAATATTGATACATCTCAAGGATGTTCACAAGGATCCATAAGCATTTGGTCAGCACAGTCATGAAAAAAAAAAAAAAAAGTTTAGGTGCCTAAGCTCGTTCTCAAGTTCACAGGATAAATAGATACTATCTAGAATTAAATTAGGTAAGCCCAAAAGGCAAAAAAGTGTATAGTTTCTCTTTTTCAGATACTTATCCATAGTATCAAAGAGGGATGGAGGGAGGGAGAAATAACATTTAGGCGATATGGTTTAAAGCACGCATTCAGCATCCTCCATACTCTTCCCACCTTTATTTTGCCCAACAAAATAAATAAAGCTTTCCATTTTGGTGCCAACCATGATTGTTTGCAATTTGCTACCCATAAGCACTTAGGATCATGTTTGACTTGATGTAAAAAGATGAAATAGATGGAATGGAATAAAATGGCCATAGTTATTATTGTTTATAGTGCTAGATGAAAATGGAATGAAACATGATTGAATGTGTTTCATTTCATTTTATCCAATACCTTTAATTTTATTCCCCTAGTAATTAGGATATAAGATGGGATGAAATTCAAGTATAATTCACTGATCTACTTACGATTCCATCCACTTCCTTAACTACATACAGAAACTGTTTCATAATAAAATAGTCAAACAATGGCATGGTAATTTTATTCCTTAAAATTCCACCCATCATTAGATATCCAAACACAAAACCAATATCTACATCTTTATTTCATTCTTAATAACAGATGCCAGAGAATAATTTTCATCTCTCAGCCGCCTGTTTAATTAGAAATCCTCTCATCATAAGAGTGAGAATTGTGCTTCATGATCCACATTTCTTGAAGCAAGAATCTGTTTCCAGTGAGAATCAACCAAAACAAAGACTACAAATCAGCTGGTATAACATGTAAAGACATCAGAAAAATCTTCCAACCAATATGACAGTCCAAAATTTACTTACATATTACTTCATGTAAATAATCAACCTACAAAAAGGACCATCAAAATTAGTGCTACAATAACTAAAACCCAGCTTCCAACCTCGTGCTTCCCTGCAATCAAATGAGCACCACACACAGCATGTCCGAAAATACTTAAAGCATGAACAAAACATATAAATGGCAACATCCTTTTCTAACATTCCAGTTTAAGCTAAGAAGTCGTTACATGTAGCAACTTTGAAGGATAACTGGATAAGTAATTGAATACAGGACATTCTACATAATATATTCATTAGTTTCAAGCACTGATTAACTATCTCACCATTTCTTGAGCTAACTCGAGATCTTGAGATTAGGTACATTGAGGAGGATTTTGCAAATTATTTAAAATGAATTATCTCATGGATGCATGAATAAGATCACATTATATATTTTAGAGTAAAGTACACTGAAATCCCATGTAATTTCTTTGAAATTCACATGATAGCCCTTCCTTTTTACTCTTGCAATAACCCTTGTAATTGTTTGAAATATATTATCACTAGTATCCAAGAAACACATTACACTATGTACCCTATATAAGGATGGTTAATGGTTATCGTAAAGTTAGTATGGTGTAAAATTCGTACAAATCACAGTCAGTGTAATTTGCTTTACATGTTATTGATAATATGATGGTATATATATAGTAGTATATACTCACAGTATCTACAATACGGGATCACTCACTTGAAGCAGTTAATTGATGCACAAGTATTTTAGGGTTAACTCAAAGCTACAACCAGTATGAGCAAGACAAACACAGAGGTTGCAGTCAAATCAAAGCAATGGAGACAAACAATGAAAAGGATACAGATCAATCAGTACAATAAAAGGAATTTGTAATCAATGTCTTTGTTTGTTAGAATTTACAACACAACAAACATTACCGTTTGCCATAACAAAGCTAATCCATCCTAATATCATACACACTATCCCACCAAATCCATCCTAATATCATACACACTATCCCACCTAATCCATCCTAATATCATACACACTATCCCACCCAAACCCAAATCTACTAAAGAATAAAATAAATTGTGATTTTCTTTATTCTTTATTCTTTTTTTGTCTAATTGTCTATTGCCACCGTAGTTACCCACTGCAACTCGAACTTGAAGCCGAGTCTGAGTCAAGGGGATACAAATCTTCAGCAATTTCACCATCAAGCAAGAGCTTAAAAAACGCTATGGCTTTGCTCTTCCCTTTGGCGCTACCGTGTTCCTGCACGTAGGCGATGCCATCCAAAGCACCAACTTTGTCCCTAACCTCCCCAACAACTTTCTCGCTCCCACACCTCACCAAATTCAAAAGCGCCGCAACCGCATTCTCCTTCGTCCTCAAACTACAACTCCCACTCTCCGAACCCAACATCATGGCCAACACGGAAACCCCCGAAACCTTCGCAAACGCCTCCTCGCTCTCTTTGCACCCCGCAACCTGCGCGATCACCGCAGTAGCGTCCTCAATTATGCCAATCCTCCTCTTCCCGTCCTTCCCCTTCGCCACCAGGCCGAAGAGGAACGGAACAACGCCCAGCCGGATCAGCGTGACCCGGCTCGGCGGGTAAAGTGCTGCGCCGAATGACGCTTTGAGGGCGTCCTTCACGGACCTCGTCGGAGAATCAGGGTGACTGATTATGCCGACGAGGGCGTGGAGGATGTCGGGGTTTGAGCTGACGATCGGGCGGAATTCGGCAACGACAGCTAGGAGGCTGTGGAGGGTGGCGGCGGCGGCCTGGACGGAGGAGGCGGCGGAGGAGGTGGCGTGGCGGGAGAGGAGGTGGGCAAGGGCGGGGAGGAGGGCGGGAGAGGAGAGGAGAGGGCGGCGGTCCGAGATGGAGAGGTTGAGGAGGGTGGCGGCGGCGTGGTCTTGGATGGGGTGGGAGGCGGAGTAGAGGGCTGCGGCGAGGAGGGGGACAGCACCGGCGGCGGCGATGAGGGGGCGGGCTGCGGAGTCTTCGTTGGAGGTGCGGTGGAGGTGGCGGAGGGCGGCGAGGCGGGTTTGGTCGGAGGGGGAAGTGAGGGCGGAGACGAGGGTGCGGATGGTTAAACGCTTGGTGTCCATGGATTGGATGGGGTTCCGATGTTGTTTTGTGTTAAACTTTAATCTAATCCATTTGGGGAGTGAGGAACTGAAAGATAGTATTAGTTCGGATTGAGCTTGAATTTGCCGAGGTTGTTTTCATGTGTTTGATGGTTGATGGGTTTTAATAAGAGTGGAAGTTAGGTTGCGTAGTTGTTGGGTGTAGTAAGTAGTGTGGTGGGAGAAAGGGAAAAGGGGGAAGAAAACTGCAGTGGATCATAGTGCAGACATGACATTTGACAAGTGGTTTGATGGAATATTGCGGATTGACTTTGTTCAAAGCTTCGGGTGTTTGATTCAGTCAAAGTCACAAGATTTGATTCTCTACTTGTTTATTGAAGTTGGATGTCAGGTGTTTCCTATCATATGCCACGGAAAAGAATATCATACATATTGGTTGCGACTCGACTAATAATAATATAATTTTTTAATCTACTAATAATAATTTTTAAATTACACCAAATAACTTGGACTAAAGAATTAAAGAGAAAATTGAACTCATTTTTCTGGAATTTTTTTTAAATGACACATCTGTCTTTTATGATAAATACTAAATTGCTCACCTCTCTTATAATAACGTTGTTAGCTTATGTGAGAAGGAAAAAAAAATTGTTTATATTCTACTAATATGCGTCTATTATATATAGTGCGTTCTGTCTCTTAAACTCAAAACATTCATCTTTCTTCACTTCTTCTGAAAATAAAATTCTTAAACTGTTTTCTAAAAGTGTTCCTAGAAATTGGGGTTTGTTTCTATTTGCTTTAGTGATTCATTTTTTTTTTTCTTTTATGGGTTTGTTACTGGGGAATAGGTCAAAAATGGAGAATTATGGGTATGATAAATCTGACCTAGGATGTGTGCGCATTTGTTAGTTCATTTTGAGAATGTAATTACGCCATTGTTCAATGTTGATCTTGATCGTTACTCGTATATTTGATTAGATTGATGATATTCATAAGTTGGCTATGGTTAGTGGGAGCAAGGATGGAGATTTGTTAATGGTTCATTAGGAAATGATAGAAAGAAAACGATTTTGTCAATGGTTGAGTCTATTACTTGTAGATTGATGGCTAGATTTCAGAAAAGATATGAAAAAGGGTGTGATTTTAAGAATATTATAACACCTAAGATTATAAATGTGCTTGACACTACAATGCAAGATCAAAGAATGTGTATAGTTACATATGCAAGTGATTGAGTTTTGAGTGAAAGATGGGTTTACCCTTTGTGGTGAACCTGAGGGTCAAAAAATGTGGTTATGGTTACTAAAAGCTATCTGGTTTACCATGCAAGCATACATGTTCATGCATTGTGTACCTGCTCAAGGGTACACTCGTAGTCTTCTTGGTAAGAAGGGCCGAACGGATACTTCAAACGGATTCTTCAGAGGGGGGAGGTATCTGCAAAAGGCACTCCGACGCTCAAGTCAGGACAAGCACAATATTCTAGGATAATTAATGAACAGTGACGTACCTCGTTACGTGTGACCTATTTATAATACCTGACATGGGCCTGAACGTGGTGGGCCTATTCTAATCTTTACCAAATTAGGTAATACGATGCTAATCAGCTAATCATGTCTTAATTAGGCACTTGTCCTTGTTAATTATGATTTGTACTATAACCCGTTTAACCTATCGGCACATTGCCGAGCCGACAGGCTAATGCTTGGGAGGTTGCATGTCTTCAACTGTTGACCGGGCCGGTAAACGTTTACTTGGTAATCTTATCGGATCGGCATTGGGCCGAGCTGATACGTAGGATGCGGGGATGCATCATGCTGTTTGCATCGGCCTTCAGCCGGGCCGATGCTAACGTCAGCCTTGGGTATGGTCCAGTTCGCATGGGTGTCTGACGGAACGGCACGTGTTGGTCAACGTGACCGATAGGGTCCTCCCGGTACACAAGCCCCCCTGCCTTGAGGAGTGAAGCGACGTAAAGGATAAATGTAAAGGGAAATAGGGTACTTTGGCTGCTGTTTTGGAGGGAAGGCCAAGGGTTACAATCGTTGGTGGGAAACGAAGGGTTGTAACCGTTGGGCACCGATGACGCATGCGAGGAGTTATGGCGGGAAACAATTGTAACCGTTGTGATAATACCAAAGGTTATAACCGTTAGGTATTAACGACGCATGAGAGGGGTTGCACACCGTGGACCGTTGGATCGAAATGATCCAACGGTGCATAGGACGGCGTCTCTTCAGATACTTACGACAAACGCCTATAAATAGGTGTATGGGGGGTGGTCCCCAAAGAATGGGGGTGGTACCTGCAAAAGAGACTCCGATGCTAAAGTTAGGGTTTGTATGAGTATGAGTCTCGTATAAATAATGCACGTACCTTGGTGTGAATTAGGGTTTCGTTAGGCCTTGGGCCTGAGATTAGTTATAATCTGATTAGATAGCGGATCTCGCCTAGACCGAGATCTCCCAGCGCATGTCCGAGGTCGTCCTGCGCTGTGATACCGAGCTCGAGCTCGGCATGGCGGTACAGATAGTACACTAGCCCCCCGAGCTCCGAAGACCGTAGGTCGAAAAGTTAAGACCGAGCTCGCCGAGTGGTCGTGACCCTTCGCGTACGCCTACCTGTCGAGATGCCACGTGTCGCAACTGTTGCCTCGTTTTTGAAAACGTGCAGGTGGCGCGTGAGTGAGGGTGACTGTTATGCAATTATGACTGGTGCTCGTCATAATGGGGGTCATTAAGTGTGTCGCCAGTTATGCCCCCTGGCTGACACGTGTTGTGGCCGTTTGGATTTTGGAAAACCCCATTTTTCTCTCTCTCGCGCCCTTTCTCATTCACTTTACTCTTTTTTGCCCTTTCAGCTTCCTGCGCACGCTGTCTTCCTCGCTTCCGTTAATCTTTCATCTTTGTCTTCTCTGTTTCTGTCGCCGTTTTTAGCAACTGGGTTGTGCTCTTTCTTTACCGTTCTTTCGTTTGTGACAGGAGTACCAGGTACTTCGATTACTCTGTTCTCTCTTTCTTCTCCAATCTTCTCCTTCTTCGAGTCTTTTGTTTTCTTGATGGCTGGAGAGAGTGGTGCCGGATCTTCCGCGCCTGCGAAGGGCAAAGGTAAGGCGCGGGGCAAGGCGGTGGCTACCGGAACGGCCGCCGCCGAGAAGAAGAAGGTGGAGAACCCGCCTAAGGACCT